AATTGCCATGTGCCAAATAAGGGCAATATTTTCCCCAAAAAATTCAGATGGTATATAAGTTGGATAAAATTTATTACAAACCTGAATAAATTTATTCAAACCTATAGGGCTAACCCACTTTTTAACTTGACTTCTCTTATCATGTGTACTGAACTTGAAATAGAACAGAATAAATTTATTTTAGTTTTACTTTATTTGACGTATCAAAAATAGCCTTGAGAATCAGCTCAGATGGGATGGAAACGAATGAAAAGACTATAAATTATTTCATTTCTTTAAAGAAATAAATATTTTTTTATGATAAATTGGACTAAAATATTGACATTTAAATTTTTGAAAAGACAGATCACAAGGGCTCTTCAGTTCCGTCGCACCCCAAAGGCCACATGATATAAGCCTACAACTCATTCCATCTTCGAGTGCTCAATCCAAAAATAAATAAATAGATAAACAAAAATAAAGAAACAAATGAATGAAGTTCTTCATTTAGATAATCTTAGGAAAGGGAGAGTACAGAAATTTTTAAAAAAAGATAATTCATATCAAATTAAGAAACAGAACATATTGAGAGACAATATTACAGTAGGCTGTCTACAAACTCGCTGACCGTAGTGTACTTAAGTGTGTGGATAGAGCTTTACTCCATCCAAGCCACCCGGCGACTCAATATCGAAGTATGTTGATCTCCTTTTACAAATGCAGAATATATGAAAACCAGCTCCATGTTATCCGGATAAGGGGTCTCTGAAAATTGAAATGTAACAAGACAACGCAGTCTTAAGTTTAATGAAAACCTCAACGCATGAACGTAGAGCACAAGACTCGGAGAATAGCTCTTATAATTCCACACGAAGTCAGGAAGATTATGCACATCGCACCAAATCAATAGAGAATAAAAGGATCAAATGTAATGAAGGACTTTCTGAATAAATAAATGCAGTACCAGGTCACATAATGGTCCAACCCAGAGATTAAGAGAGTGTTTGCAATTGTTTTTATAAAATCAGGAGTTGAAACTCAAAATAGAAGTGAGTAGAAGTGATTTCAAAGCAAAAGTGGGGATGTTTGTAAAATATGCTAAAATTCTCGAAAATAGTAACACAGGTGTTGGAATGTAAATTGTATAACTGCTTTTGAAAAAAAAAAATTGCTTTAAAAATACAAAAATGCCCTTACTTCCATGCCCTTTGTTCACAGCCAAAAATCCATCTCGGATGCATCCTTATCCCGACCAGAAATGGCCGGTGACTATAAGGGAAGGCCAAATAGCCCACTGACAACAACCTGAGAAGCGACAGCAACCATGACAAAAGACACTCTTGCCGCTGCAGATTTGGCCGAAATTTTGACCGATGACAAAGAAACTCCTAACTGACTGCAGGCAGAACAGTTTGGGGGAAAGGAAGAAAAAAAAGGAAAAACTCGAAAGAAAGGGACTGCAAGAAGAAAAATCGATCTGTGTCCAGTTAACAAACAGCCACATGAGCCCTGTGATTTTGGCTGAAGGAAGAAACCCAGAAGCCGACATACTCCTGATCAAAAAGCAAAGGAGGAGCAGATTTGTTGATAGGAGACTGAACAAATCAGAAAACCAGAAGAAAGGGAGCGGAGTCCAGTTGCTGACGAAAGTCCAGTCATAGCTGATCTCTGCTCAAAGCTGCCATCAATTGCCAAAGGAAAGAGAGAAGAAAGTCTCTAGCCAAAGAGGAAGCAACAACAAAGCATGAAGTTCCAGAATATTGAAAAATGTAAGGGGGCAAAAGTGTTGAATGGATATTTAAAACAAATTTAATTTATTTAAAAAACTGCCATCAAAAGATGAACCATGTCTTACCCCTGCTTCTGATTTTTCCACTGTTTAGAACTTTTTTTAAAGAATCAAAAGCCAAAAACAAGTTTGCAAACCCCCATGAGTGCTTTTCAATAATTGAAAAGTAGATAAGCACTTGGGAGAAGTTTCTGCAAACACCGCCTAAACCTGGACTTTGGGGTTTATGCTTTCAGCTTTTCAGTTTAGAAAGCTAACACAGAATGTTGTAACTTCCTAACTTCCAGGCTGTAGTATCCTGACTATTGTGGCTGATAAGCCAAATGCATAGACTTAAAAAGTCCAGCAAAGTAAGCAAGAAAACTTGAAGAGCAATATCAAGAGAAACCACGACATTTTCTCAATAAATCAAGTTAATAGTTTGAGCTATGAGCAAGACTGACACGCAGCCAACTTGAAATCCAACAACTAGCATTTATATGGTATTGCAGGACCTGCAAGCTTTATGCTTAATTGGGCGTCAACAACAATTTACTTTTTTTTTCCCAACTTCCATCACTTTAGTCAGGCAATCAGTAGAAGTCGAATGCTAATGATTAACTTATTGTGTGGATTTGCAGTGTGAGATGACAATTTAAAAAAAGGATGCTTTTAATTGTTACTAAATATCCTGGAGTTTAACACGTGGTAATGAAATTCTATTCACTGCCAAGCCTTCTGAATATGGTAGAAAAAAATTGTCCAAATTATTCCCATACCTTTAATTTTCTTGAGCAGCTCTTCTTCCGAAACGTAAGTTCTTTCAACCTCTTCCCAATCTTACCCTCCCAAATTTCAACCAGCTCATTCATGGAGTAAACATTTCCCGGGGCCTCAGGCCGCCTTATTCAGTGTGCGCGGATCGTCCACTGTACTAATTGTAAATGCAGCTACATCACTTTCATTCATGAAAACACCTGTAGAGGATGAAAGGTGTAGGTTAAAGAAAAAAAAAAAAAAAAAACGAATATCAACTTTCATAGTTCCAATAAGATTATAGAATTTGTTTCCAAGCAAACATAAAAAAAAAAATCCAAGGAGAAATGATTGAGAGACCTTGTACATTTCCTTCTCCAAATATTACAACTTTGTCCCTAGGAGGAGCCTTGAGGCCAGGCTGAACTATTGAAGGAAGCAAGTAGCTTGTGAAGAAGTTACAGCATATGTAGGTATAAGGAATGCCCTCAGCTTCTACAATTCGTCGAATTTCAACTTTTCTTGCATAGAAGTCGTGGTCCATGCCAGATACTCGAGTTTTATCGGGTCAATTCCAAATTCTGAAGGAATTAGCCTCTGGAAGAAGTCAAGCTAGAGTTTAGCAGGTACCAGACTTGACAGTTGATCATAACACCAAAGATACACTACAAGAATTTCTATTACTGAATTCAATTAACTCTTTATTTCCGCCAAAAAAAAAAAGCCTCTTGATAATAATAAAACAAATTTAATTATCTCTAGCACTTCACGTCTCCCGTAATCATGCAAGAGAAGTTAAATAGAAAGTTAACAAAAGGAGCAAGATACTTGGATTAAGAAGGAGATGGAACCATCAAGCAACTTGTAGTTTTAAACCCACATTCCAACAACAGTAGGAAAACAGAAAAAAGAAAATGAAACAGAAGTTAATTTAAAATAAAATAAAAAAAAGCTAAACAAATAGCCTGAGAAATTTTTGACCAGCAATTACAAAATAAATAAAAAAACTAAAATAAAAAGAAAAAGAATCCATAAATCGGTGAATCTTTTTAGAATAATGATAAATAGTGCACTGGTAATGTACAAACGAGTAATATATGTGAAATTCCTAGAATAGTAAGAAATCCGTTTAATTTTTCCTTTCCTCTCGGCACAAAGTACGTGTCAGTCAATAGTCAGGAAGTCCCCTCTTTGATGGGTCATACTACCATTGCTTCTGAACTTCAATTGAACCAGTAAGCAAAAGAAACATAAAAACAATCACTTCACAGCCAAACAATCAGAATGTCAACGCTTATTCGGTAATAAAAATAAGGCGAGCACGAGACAGCGATTAGAGTCAGAGAAGAAAAGATTCATACTAATCTAAAAGGGAGGGATTACCTTGATGCATCCTGCTTGTTTGATCGCTGGAATGAGAAGCTTCTGGTCGAGGGTTTGCCTGGACGAGACCGCACAAATTACCACATCGACTTGCCTGAGGGCTTCAACGAGTCTCTCTTCATTTTGCAGCGAGCCCTAGAATTTAGAAAAAGAGAGCCACGAGATAATGAAGTCAAGACGATACACAGAGAGAGAGAGAGAGAGAGAGAGAGAGAGAGAGAGAGATGAGTTGTGACAATTTAGACCGAGAATGGAAAAAACCAGTAGAAGCACGGCGCCAGAATCAGAGAGTGCCCGGAGCTTCCGGGATTTGAGGGGGTCTTCGGAGGTGAGTTCCCGGACGAGGGCAAAAGTGGGATGTGAAGCTTTGATACTGGCTATGGCGAGCTCAAACCCTAGTCTTCCCGTTGCTCCTATTATCAGTATCCTGCTCTTTTTCTCCATCCCTGGAGCTTCTCTCTCTAAGCGAAAGTAAACTCCTAGGCACTGACACACACCGCCGTGGCCGATGATGCCCAGGAATCCGAGAAATGGGACGTTGCAGATTTTGTCTTGTCGGGTCGGGTCGGGTCGAACTTCTTTATTTGAAAAGTGTCCCAAAGTGCACTTGCATTTGTTTTTTTTAGTAATATTTATATGTTAATATAAAATTAATAAGTATTGTTTATATTTCTTCTTTACAATATGTCTCAGGTGTACCATATGAATGTCGAAAATAAAATAAATTAAATAAACTATTAAAAAATAAAACAGCTTGTATCATTTATTTGAATGTTGAGAAAATTAAAAAAAATAAAAAATTAGGACGGCCTAAAAGACTAAAATCAAAATCTTAAAAAGTTATTTTTTAAAGTTTTTTTTATTAAATATTCAGGTTTTTTTTTTTACATTAAACCACATAATAGAAAAAGTTGGTATAAAAATTTATAAAATTGTTATTTATCTCTTTTGAGGCTATTAAATTAGGAAAGGTGAAAAACACTTCTGTTGAAGTTTACCCCTTCAAGTTCCCTTAAACAAACGATATTTAATCTCATTTTTACAATAAAAAAATATTTTTTTATTTAATTAATTATTAAATAATAATTATGTTAAAAAGTACGTAAAAATAACTTAATTGTGTATATTTTAGTTACTTATCTAATTAAAATTAAAATATTATTTGATTCATTTATTTTTTTAAATTTCTTATTTTTTATTTTTTTAAAAATCTAAGTTTTGATAATTTAATTTTATTATTTTAATTATTAAATAATTTTTATTGTGTTATGTTTTTATTTTTATTTTAAATGCTAAAATAAAAATAGCTAAATGTCATTTAAGTTACAAAAAAAAAGTTAACTATCATTTAAATTTAAAAATATTGTAACGACCCGAGACTACTGGCCCTAACAACTTGTTGAGCCTAAACCACTGACTCAAAATGCTTAAACCCAAGTTTTTCAGTAGTAGCCTCTAGTTTCTAATATACCCTAGATGTCTCCCGTGTTTTGTCGATGTGGGATTTGCTTAAGGGTGTCACATACACTCACCCCCTTTGGGGTGTCACATACACCCCCTTTTTTGGGACTCAGCGTCCTCGCTGAGATTTGCCCCACTATCGTTCAAAGTTGCACGCGGAGTGGCTCTGATACCATTTTGTAACGACCCGAGACTACTGGTTCTAGCAACTTGTTGAGCTTAAACCATGGCTCAAAATGCTTAAACCCAAGTTTTTTAGTAGTAGCCTCTAGTCTCTAATATGCCCATGATCTCTCCCGTGTTTTGTCGATGTGAGATTTGCCTAAGGTTGTCACACACACTCACCCCCCTTTGGGGTGTCACAAATATTAAATAAAATTAAAATATCATAAAATAAAAATTTTGATAATAGTAAAATTATATCATCAAAAGTTAGATTTTTTTATTTTTTTAAAATGTTAATTTAAAAATTTTAAAATTTAAATTTTCTAAGTAAAATAAATAATATTTTAATTTTTAATCAAATTGGTAAAGCAAATAAATGAAATTAGATTATATTCACGTTCTTTTTAATAAAATTGTTAAATAACTATTAATTTTTCATAATAAAAATAAGATTAAATATTATTTAAGTAAATTTAAAAAATAATATATAATTATTACGCAAATAAAAATGACTACAGGCTGGCATAGGGCATAGGACAGGTTTGGTTACATCCCTTTTTGTACCGAGCCAAGAAACCCATTTTTATCCAAGTTTCCATTCCTTACTAGATATTAATTTTAGTACCTATCCTCTTACCTATTGAATAATATTGTACCAATTTAATATGAGAAATTTTTTTTGATTTATAAAATAAATAAGAAGTAAATAAGAAAAAGAAAAAGTATTATAAAAAAAATTGCCTTTCAATAATAACCTATGCTACATTCATATACTAAATCATATCTTATAATTTTAAATAATAATAATAATACTATTATTATTAATATTATTATTATGTTAATTTTTTTTAAAAAGAAAAGTATACAAGATATATACTTACACACCTAAATGGTTAGGGCTTTGGTAACGAAATTGTAACTACCTGAGTATTATTGGACCTATTAACTTGTTGACCGTGAATTATTGGCTCAAAATGTTTAAATGCAAGTTGTTCAGTAGTAGTTTTTAGTATTTTATAAGCCTAACATCTTTCTCGTATTTTGTCGACGTAGGATTTATCTAAATGTGTCACACACACACTCTCTTTGAGGTGCCACAGAGATAGAATGAAAAAATTTTATTTTATGTACACTCACGGATGTGAGGTTTGTTGAATATTAGAGTACCATTTTCCACACTTGGAAAAAATGCTTATAAAATTTTTAAGTTCTTAATCATTTCTATTTTACATTATTTATATTTGGGTAAATTTTGCAAGCATCTATTGAGTATGGGTAAATTTGGCATCCCTCTGATTTCAAAATATTAATTTGGGCATATAAATATATTATAATTTCTTGTAACCTTGACGCCTTTAACTCATTGTTTACGCAATTTAAGCATGCATTGTAACAATTGATTGAATTATATTACACAGCAATGCACTAATTTTCAAGTTTGCCAGACCATGTATAAATTACAATAAAAAGAATTTCTTTCACTGACGTGCGGAGACTATTTTATTGGGAAATAAATAAATAACAAAGAATATCCATTATCATGTACATTATTCCTTAGACAAATAGATTAGTTCATATGGTTGATTGGTGAAACCCTAATTGTTTCCCTCAGCTTTCACAGTAGTAAGAGTAATGTTGGAGGGTCTTATGAAGTGGGTTGGTGTGGATCTAAGCCAACCTCTCCCCCCAATCATGGCCTTGGACAAGAAGGGTGACACCTCCTGGCTTGACAGGCTTTTTGACCATTCTACCCTTCTGGTTCTCTTCGCCCCCGGACCATAACACTTGTATTCTCCATAGTACACCGTGCTGCAATCAAACCCATTAACAGCACATTCAATTTTCCATTGAAGAAGAAGAAAATCCACTTGTTTTTCCCAGCAAACCAAACATGTCCTAACACATGCCAGTTTGGAATTGCTTCTGGAAATAGTTTCATGTTTCCAAAAACAAAAAATAGTTTTGGTGGGTCGTTTTAGAAACCATTAGTTCTTCAGAGAATTTTCAGTGAAAGTAAACAAAAGCTATTTTCAGAATTACTTAATAACTATTTTCAGACCTGTGCGTGGTAGGGTCATTCCAGTCATTCCAACCCTCTGGGAGAATGACGCTGGAGAGAGAGGAATAGGCAAAGACGACCCTTGAGTAAGCGCCCCATGGCCTTCCAAGGTAGGCAGTTGCCAAGCCCGTAATCTTGCAGCCGAGGAAGACGAACCCCGTATTTTCCAATGGTGATTCTCTGTGTTGAGCTGTAATTGCTCCATCCCCCGGGGAGATGGAGTGCAGGTGGCATCTCTGCAATTTCATGTAAATGACTACATGAGTCTGTCGGAATATACATGTATCTATAATTGTATATATGTGCTTACCCCTTGGAGATGGCCTCTATATCTGGATTTGTTTTTCAAAAACAGGTTTCCTTTTCAAATAAAATAAACATTTGTTAGATCATTTTGAAAAACTATTTTTGGAGAACCTTCCGAAACCGGATTCTTAGTTCAGTCAAGCACCAAAGTTTGTTTTTCAAATCCTCAGCTTGCTATTGCTTGAATTTTTGCCTATTTTCGATTTTTTGTTTTCATTGAAAGTGAAAAGAGAAAATAAGGTTGAAAATATATTCGGTTTGCAAACTTTTTTGTTTTCATAAAATATATTTTTTAAAAATTGAGTTGAAAATTGAAAAATTATAAAAAGTTGGTTTCAATATTTTCTCCTAAAAACTTTGATTATAGAAAATACATAGTGAAAATCTAAAATCATTTTCTGAAAATAGAAAATACTTAAATCGAACCAAACATGCTTCCTAAAATTTGAAAATGAAAATACTTCATAATAGAATATGACAACAGAAAATATTTACTGAAGCTAAACAGGCCCTAAAGTTTTCTTGTCTTCCAATAGTTTCTCTTTTCGGAACCACATAAAATAGAAAATAGAAGAAAAGAAATCCCGCACGTGCCAACTATTGTTTGTTTTTTGTTTTCTATTTTATATCTTTATATCTTTTTATTTTCCTTTTGTTGGGTTTTACTGGAATTGGTTTCAGAAAAATCTAGAAATTAGTTCCAAAAAGTAGGGTCATTTCAAAAAGAACTTTTGTAAGAGTTGGTATCCGTTTTCATTTTCTTAACTGTACTTATTGACAGAAATATGTGTGATGAAAATAAATGAAAAAAAATTAGGAAATAGAAATAATATGAATTAAGTTGTAGTAAATTGGATCGATGGAAGGATAATTTTGTAAATAACAAAAGTAGAACTTACTTCATAAAGGGATGCAGCGTCGCCACAGATAAAATCGGTGCCTCCTTCAATGTAGCAGTTACTGAAGTAGTGTCTTCCCAACTCGTCAAGGAGAGTATCCTGGAAAGAGAGTATTCTGCAATTGTAGAATGCTGCTCTATCTCCTGCCACCCTTAATGCTGTGGCTATTCCACTTGTCCCAAACGTGTTCTACACAATTAATCTTAGAATTCATTTTGAATATTACATACCATATATATAATATTTGTGGGAGATTAAGGAGGCTTGTTTATACAAATAATATATATGTGTATATTAATTACTAGAACATATGTAAATATAGAAATATTTACGAAAACATACAAAATCAACTTCTATCCAAAAGTCACTTTTAGCTAAGTTTGTCGTGACTGAACTGCTGAATCGACTTCTAATCTATTGAACAACAACAAAAATGGCAAACGGAGAAGCCAAGACTAGTCAATGGGTGGAAAGTGATGGGTAGAGTTTGCAAAGCCAATGGATCTAAGCCTTACAAATAGAGTCGATGCTTGCATCTATTGGTTCTGTTTGTAGAGCTTCGTCGGACGAAGCTGCATGAATAGAACACACCCCTCTGCCCCCTCCACCTCTTGCATCCTTCTTTTTTCTTTCAATTTCCTTCTCCCCCTCCACCTCTCTTCTTCTTCAATTCTTCCTCTGCCTTGGCCTTCTCCGCCATTTGCTCCTTGTTTCGCTTGGTTCTCCTTGTGTTTTGTTCCTGACCAACTTCCTCCAAGAAGTCGGTTTCTTCTAAAACTTTCATATAAAAGTTGGTCAGGCCAAACCAACTTTCGTAAGAAAGTCATTTTTTTTATGTTTTAATAACCAAACAAAATTTTGCTTATTTTTGTAATTGAAAAAATTATGATATTAATAAGATTATCAAAAATAAATTTTTACTCAAAAATATTTAGATCTTATAAGCATAAAAGCGTAAAAATAAAGCGTAAAAACAAAAATTTTATTTAAAACATATAAAAAATTTATATATATATAATTTTATTAAATGTAAAAATAACTCATTTAACATATATAATAAATAATAATAACAATTCAAAATAAAATAATAAACCATAAGTATTCAAATTTAAAATTGACAAGAGTACAAAACTAAAAAGAAATAATAGGAAATTAAATTGAAATAATGAAGTCATATGAAGGAAATAAAGAGTAGAATAAGTTATTGGGTGAAAGTGATTAATAAAATGGTAACTTATAAATTTAAATTAAAAGTGTAAAATGACTAATAAAATTGTAATTTTATAAATTTTACCATTTTAAAATAAATTTTCACAAATTTTTTCTCAAAAATAATTTTAGATGTAATCGGAGGTTTAATATGAATTATAAAAGCACTTTTAAGTTTTAAAGTGTGCTTTTCATAACCATAAATATTAATAAATAAAAGCCAAAAAAGGAAGCGTTTGGCTGGAGAATTAATTTATAAAGAAAAGAATTAACCTGAATAGTGAGATATCGGCCAACAAAATCAGAAGCAAAGACGGTGAACGCAGAAGAATCATGGATGTCGCCACCCTCACTCCAAGTGATTATGGTGTTGGAGGCATCCGTTCCGCTCACTGTTATGAAAGGCTTGTCCGCCGGCACAACAATCTTCTCTCTGCAATTTACGCCGCCAAATTTCATCAATATTTATATACAAATAAAAATAAATAAATATATATTTGCTACTTCACATCGTTCAACGGCCAACATTATTCCATCAAATTCTAATATAATTACTGTGTGATTATATCAGAAGTAATCAGTTTATGCTATATTAATTTCGTCATCCTTTCTTTAAAGAAAATAAAAATTTACTATAACATTTAAATATTAAATACTGGATTTTTAAATTTTAAAAATTATAATATTGCCGTATAATAATCAACAAAGAATATAAAAATTCTCTATTATTAATCATTTTCAATACTAAATCATAAATCAAATATACTTGCAGAGCTGAAAATTTAATTTCATTATCACACACATTTTAGATTTAAATGATTCAATATTAACCATATTTAACTTTATACACACACACATGCGAAGTATCAAACAATTCTTAGTAATAAAAAGAAAACTACTTAGATTGACCGAGTCGGATGTAACAAAAAATTTGAACAAAACATTTCCCAAAAATCAGCCATCTGCAAGAAATTTATCACCTACTTGATACACCCACACACACACACAGATATATATATATATATAAATATATATAGAGAGAGAGAGAGAGAGAGAGAGAGACGTAATGTTCCGGGCTTGACCCAAATGAAAGCCAGCTGGGAGTTATTAGAAGGAACAGCATCGATGGCGTCCTGTATCTTCTGATAATCTCCTTTTCCAGACTGATCAACCCTTATCAGAACAGCCCTAGAAGTATCCATTATTCTCAAGGAAGAAGAAGAAGAAGCATCCATGGAAGAACACAGAAGAGCTTTTGCCATTATAAATGCTACAAAAGCAAGATGAACCTTCATCGTTGATCCACCACCCATGTGGGCTCCTTCGTCTCGGTGGCAGTGCAGACAATAAAACTAAAAATTTTTATTAAATTTCTCGTCAATCTGTAATTGATGAACAACTCAAGCAAAGTTCGTTCGGAAAATTTTTAAGTGCTGACAATGTTGTGGGAATCTGTGCTTAATATACTGCCACCCCATGTAGAAAGTCAATGGACTGGCAGCCGTTTCTTGCATACGAGGTATAAAGTCGGCCACCATAACTTAAGGATGCAACTTGGAAAAACTTGAGGATGTAAGTTGAAAAATTTGAGGATGAAGATGCATATGTAAGAGGGGCTGGGTAAATATGAATATTAAAAATAAATATATTTATTTGACCAATTTTTAAAGAGTGATTCATGAATCTGTAAAGCCATGAGTTTAATTTTTTGCACAACGTGAATTTTAGTTACATGTAACTCTCCTTCCATGACCATTAATAACCATAATTTCATAATTATGGCTATCTATTTATCTCTCAGGTGGATACATAACTAATGTGTTTTTACTCCAATTTGTTCATCCGTTTACTTCCCTTACATTATTTTTGTTTTTATCATGGGTGTTGTTATCTGTTTTATGGTTTAAAATTAATTCTATTCAGGTCAGTGGCTGTCCATTTTCAAAAATATATCTTCTTGAAATCAAACTCAATTCATTTTTTGTAAATAAGTATCTTACAATATTTACTTACACTAAATGTAAATATAATTTTGATTCTTAAATCATTTTATTTATGTGATATAAATTAAATTACACATCCTTTCGGGATTGGGGTTAAACTTATTGCACATAAAGGATTAAATTCATAAAAAAATCTATAGAAATGGTACATCAAAAAAGGTGTCTTCGCATTTTTTTTTTTATAATTTGTTGCCTATATACAAAAATTAAAGGGGCATCTTCACGTTTGTTTTATAATTTGTTGCTTATAATCTTTATATTTGTTTATTTTGAATTTTCTTTTTAATAATTTCTTTAATTACAAAAGAGAGCAATCAAACCACTGGAATTTGCTTTTTTTTTTTTTCTAATAACTTCTATCATAATTGTTATAGAATCAACTAACTTGAGGGTGGACAAATCCAAGAATTTTTCTTTTTTGGGGTAACAACAAACCCAAGAATTGTAACGAGATAAGATAGCGAAAAGCACGTACGCATTGTAGGCCTCTAAACTGTTTCGGTGTGGACCAGACCAGGTTTGGCCCAAATTGGACCCAGTTAAAATTCCGATTATCACTAGATCTGTTAAGAAAGGTCCGGCCGGGACTTGGATTCTACTCTTTTCATTTCGGCCTATTTTAAAGTAATATATTAGTAGATTTAATCTGTAACCTGACTCAATCAGCCAATAATTAAATCTTAGGAGCCTGGACTTCTGGGTTTCTACCTAAATATCCAGGTCTAGATGAGCTGGAGGCTGACCCGCCCAATCCAACCCAACCCCTTAACCACCTTTATACTTTGAACTTAAACATTTCATAGCCGTATTATGGGCTGACAAAGTCTTTAGAATAAGCAGAGATTACTTGTATGGATGATTGAGTGATTCGTTCAAAGACATATCCCTGAATCAAGTGTTTGCAAGTTAAAAATTTAAGTACCCCTAGTTGAACCTAACCAGATTTGGAAGGAAGAACAACTATAATTTTTATTTTATCCTCGTTCCTATGGTTGACTTCTAGATTATTGATGGCTAGACAGCCGCTTTCTTAGAATGTTAGCAAACTTAAATTTGTGTCACAAATAGTGATAATTTAGGATATTGGTAGTATTCGCAAAAGTTTTTAAAATCATTTTTGCATTTTTTAATATTCAAAAAAACTTTTGAAGCACTTTGGAACTTATTTATAATTTCTATTTCTCTTCGTTTGAGTAGGAAAAAGTAAAAAAGTAAAATTGATTCTAAAAGTGGGAGGAGAGGTGCTTCTATTGCGAGTAGGGGTGTTTATGGTTTAGTTTGGTTCGGTTTGATACTCAAATTCAAATCAAATCATACTTTACGGTTTGTAATTTTTATAAATTAAATTGAACAACAGCTTACGGTTTGGTTCAGTTTAAAACCACGGTTTGTGATTTACAAAATAAAATGAATTAAATTAACTATTTTTATAAAAATTTTAATAGAGTTTTTCCTAAAAATTGGTCATCTATTTTTTTTCTAACATGTTTAACTTAATAAATTCATTATTTATTAATTAACTATAGTAGTTATACATTTTATAATAAATATATTTATACCATTTTACAGAATTTCACTGTTACTAATAGAAATTACATTCTAAAAAAGAAAAATAATCAATTATTATAATGAATATAAATATAAAAGATAACAAAAAAAATACAGTTAAACAATAAAAATACACTATATATATAAAGATATGATTTTTAATTTTGTATATATATAAACTATATGGTTTGGTTCGGTTTATACGATTTGTCTAAATATCAAATTCAAACCGAACTACACTAAACAGTTTGATTTGATTTCATACAATTTGGTTCAGTTTATGCAGTTTAATCGGTTTGGTTCGGTTTGTTGAACACCCCTAATTGCGAGTGATATTATAACAATTAAGTAGAAACTATTTTTGACAAATTTTTTTCCCTCAAAACTTTTTCTTATTTTACTTTTTAAAATCATTTTTAACATAATTTATAAACACACCTAATTTTTACTTTTAATCCACTTCTATCCCACTTTTATTTTAAACTTTAATTTTTCATTTTATAGAAATATTTACAAACATAACCTTAGGGTGTGTCTATCCCAATCACAAAATGGACTAAAACGGACGTAATTTAGATTATGCAAGTTTTAATGAACGGTGGAGATTTATTTAGAAAAAAAAAACTGAATTGATACTAAAAAAATTTTAACTCTTTATTTAAAAATAGAGAATTTAGAAATACAAATGAATTAGATTTTGAGAGAGAAGATAACGCTGTACAAGGAGAAACAAATTGACAAAAATGAGTTTAGCCGGCAACTATTTGAGTACCATCCCAGTTTAGTTTAGGTTACAATAAGACTCTTTGTTTTTGGTTTTATTTTTGTTTTTCTTCTGTCCATGGATAAAGGGTTAAATACCCTGTTTGGATATATTTCAAAAGTTTTTTTTTTTCTTTTAGAAAGCTATGAACTCGTTTGGTATATTATATTTGAAATTTATTTTTAATAAAATAATTAAAATCAAGCCCACTTTTTTAAATTGGTAAATTTATGGTTACAGTCCTCCGGATTTTTTTAGATAAGTCAAACTTTTCAAATTTGTGGGATTGGGCTTTTGTTCCCTGCACCTGCAATATAACAAAGGAAAAAAAAAAGGAATCTGCTATCTACTTATGCTAAAAGCTTTTCGAACTGAGTTACTTGAGTTCGATTCTGGTTTAAAATGTCAAACCCAACCATTAAGGTGCTACGTATTAGTACCTTGCTATTAAAGATGCTATCTTCTGATTAAGGATTGGAATATTTGGGGCTCACTTTAACTTGAAATTTGGGATTTAAAAAGAATCTCTGGAAAAAGTATTTTAAAGTAATCTTGTATATGATTGTAGATATAAGTAGTAACAGTTTAGATATTACTTCTATCATTGTTAGGATCTAACAGTTTTTCCCAAATTAATGACAAGTGAAAATCACTTATATAGTAAAATAACTAATTTTTGTATGAATTTTTTTTAATAAAATAAGCCTGTCTCTCGAGCCGGGATTGAAAAAGTGAATTTTTTTCTCCTCCACTTGAGAGCTCTTTTGTGGATTAACACTTTTGGGCTTCAGTCTCTTGCTAATTTTGTTCTTTTTGGGTTTTGGCCCGTTTGTTATCTAAAAGAGAAAGGAAAAGAATATGATGCTAATTGCTTATTGATTTTTTTTTTCTTTTTCTTTTTTGAGAAATGAGAAGTGGAGAGCTCTTGGGCAGGGCTGAGGTGGTCCAGAGAAAGGGAAAGAGCGAAACGACCTCTCTCCATCCGCTAGAGGCAAAGAGAATCAGAAAGATCTTGCCTGCACAAAGGGACACCTTTCCCTTTCACCTTTGTTCTGGACTTGAAAATGAAGGCAAACCAGGCACTACTTCATCCAGTTGAGGCAGAGCCTTACACCCCCCGCCCCCCACAAGCTTCCCTCCCTGTCTTGTGGGCTCCAATCCAACATTGAAAATGCCCTTTCCTTGCCATTTTCATGGCATGATTAGAAAAGAAACAAAATATCTCAATCTTTAAATCAATTATCAAAAGTTTAACGAGTGTGATACAAGCGATGAAATATTTTTATTTTTATGGAGGAGAACTAGATTCAAATTCGTTAAAATGCACTTTCAAGAAAAAATAGTCAGAGTACTCTAAATAAAATTAATCTTAAATTTTAAAACGGATAAAGATGTTAAAGGCCAAAAAAATTATCAGAAAAGTTCAATATATTTAGTTTTTAAACTTTAATACAAGAAGATCATAAGTCTGAGAAATATAATATTCTCAATTTTTAAATTTTTGAACTAAAAACTCAAAACCCATAAATTTACAAAACCAAGTGATTGAATAATCGTTGAGTTCAAAATAAAATTTTTTATTATTTGATTATTCAAAATTGAACTTTTTTTGATAATTTTATTGGTTCACAGCAATATAGTTTTTCTAATTTTTTTAAAAGCTAGAGGTGAAAATCTAAAACATCTACTATATTTTAGCTTAAGAGAAAATTTTGCTTAAAATGTTGTAGCAAGATATGCCAAGTTTCGTGAGAAGTCACGGGCAAAGATAGCTTCTCTTGGTACAACTTCCCTTTTACTAACCCCACAGAAAGTAGAAGTGCTTGCTTAGCGTTCCCTGAGCTACAAATTGTCATATAAGTCCTCCTGTTATATTATTATAGACAACCTAAAAATTTGAAGCAGGTAATTTTTCTTTTTTATGGAAATTTCAAAATCAAGATTTGTCCCAAATTTCTATTATAAATTAATTAAAATGATGACAAATACAAATTAATTATAAATCAGGACTGCCAAAAGAATATTGTATAAGTTAATA